TTAGAGGAAATGCGATTTGCCTTATCGCCAGTCCCCTGATGAATGGATCCCAGTCTCGACCCCCTTGAGTTGTTCCCTAGGTCACCCCAGGGGGGGTTCCTTTGTTTTTTTCTTCTCTCTGTATCCTTGCCCTTTCCTCTCATTCCCTCTTCCTCTCCTTATCCCTCTCCCCCTCTCTCCCACCCCTCCCCTACCTTTACCCCTTCTTTCTGCCCCTAACTCACCCTAGTAACCTCCTGCTTGTAATCCTTTCCCCCATCTCCCTCTCTTTGCTATTTCCCTTATCTTCTCTATTCTTTCCCCACAAGTCTTACCATCACTAGCACCCTCCCATATACATTTTTTAAAAAATTTTCTTCAGCTTGATATTGCTAGACACACATATAATTTCTGAAAGCATAATATGTACCCCTTGACAGTTTCTATAGATACCGATCTGCAATCCCCTCCTATGTAGATTTACCTGGTTTCGTGCCACACTCCATGTCCCATTGATCCTCATACGAATCCAGGATATTATATTATGTTTTCAGATCAGATAGACATCTATGCCCTTTTTGCAGAGCCCTACACCCAAACCGTGGTTTGGAATAGCCCTTCCTCTAGTTTGGATGTAATCTCTTGCAGTCTACATCCTCTCTTCACATTATGCATTGATTGTGTGTTTTGGACTAACTGTATAACCTAAAAGCTTGTGCCTTTCTACATGCCTTGACCATTGTGATCTATATGTTATCCCCCTTATGGTGTACTTTTGACCTGTATTGTTTTCTTGATTCTAATAAACGTTATGGGAAAAAAAAATATATATATTTATATGTGATTTTTCCGATGTACCCATTTGTTTTATTATAAAGAGCATAATAAATAAAGACCAAACACACAAATTGCTATACATTTCATTTAAACTATAGTCCATTATTCGTTAAGAATGACAATGCCATGTACATGTAAATACCATCTTTGTACCTTCTACTTGCATAGGGGTTGGCCAGGCAGCAAATAATGTCTAGTTGGGATGGGATGTCTTTTGACCTGTACAGATCTCTTTTCAGACTCATTAGTTGACCCATTGGTTCAATAAAAAGTTGAATGGATTCCCCCATTCACACAAGTGAGGTAGATAGAGGAATCTTCTCTGATGTGCCACTGTCCAATCTCACTCTCAGAATACACTGATTAGTGGCTGCAACAGATTGGCTGAAGCCACTGATCGACAAAAATCTTTGCTATATTCCCATTCAACAAAAGCCAACTGTTAGACTGGGAACGATCATACATGAATTGAAATTTGAATTTCAATCAATTTATGGCTAGCCAATAATTGCCTGTGCTATGCTTATTGTTGAAGAGAAAGAATGTGGAAGGGATTGGCCCATTGCCACAATGACAAGTAGATCTGTTGCAATACATAGCCTGCTCTCTAGGAGAGATCTACATATGTAAATGGAAGAATTAAATATGGTACACTTATGTTGGTTGCTCTCTGCTATTCCAGACACTGGCCTATAAATACCTTACATTAAATGCAGCTCTGCCTCTAATGTATGCTCATGGAAACTGGCATCAATTCTAACATGCCTATGCCCATGCAACATTATATTTATTTTGATCATACTCATAATCATGCTCATAATCAACTATAAAAAGGCTTTTTATTAGGTGACACATGATATTTGGACCTGCCATCTGCCAGGACTAATGTGGCACAGATCTGACACCTATCAATGCCTTTAAAAACATTTGCCTTATTTTTTTTTTTTTTTTTTGCAAACTTAGCTACGTGGATAACTGCCTATACTGCTGCTGAGAGCTACCGGGAGGTCTTTGATGTTTCACATAAACGAAAGACTAAATAAAGTTCTGTCAGTAATGAGGATAAAAGAGAAGAGCCTGGTTCCTAAGACTGTGTTACCCGCTGTTACCACTTCAAAGAAAATAAACAGAATCAATCTATTTTCCATATATGTTCTGTTTCACGCATAGACATGAACTCAGAAGCTTCTACTGTCTCTGCGTCGAGGTATGATATATTTAAAGTTTACTGTACTTTTGCATTTAGGAACTTTTTGGACAGAGTAATGTTCTCATATTCACACATCTATAATGACATGTCCCAACAAAGCATTGCTGAACACTCTTGGGGGGTCAAAGTGATTGGCCAGGAGGTTTTTCCTAATTATTGCTATTTCCCCCCCTATGTAAGCACCTCTCAGGTGTTCCATTCTTTCTAGTCACAAAATATAAACTTATCTCTAATGAAGTGGGTCCCATGTCTAGTTGGCTGCTGCACAGTGTAGACATCTTCTCCCCACTACTCCTTGGTCCTCTGCACTGCACTGATTTTCCAGCAATGCGGCGGGGGTAACATCAGCTGTTGCGAGTTTGAAAGAGTTGTGACGCTCGCCTGTTCCCCTCTTCCTGCCTCCTCCATTCATAGAACTCATATTATTCTTTCCCAGAATGCAAAGCATCCTGTGAATGGAGGCTGTGCAGGTGAATGACAAGATCTGCCTCCTCCAATCACAGAGCACTTTGCATTTTGGGCTGTAAAGGCAACCAATCACTTCTACATGTGAATGAAGATGCTGCTACGATGCCAATAAAATTAAAGTGTTACTAAACCCAGGACCCTGCATTCACGATATCTCGTCTCCCACAGTACACAGAACATGGAAATGCAATTATTTTAATAGTACATATAAACTGCTAAATACCTTTTCCTATCAGCAGTATGTAGCAGTCTTGTGACTTCTGTCAGTGTCCTGGCTAAGCACTAGCTAAAGCTTGTAGGAAGAGTTTTCATTCTGCCCTGATTGTCTTATGAGTCTGCATAACCCCTGACCCTCTCTCTCAACAGTGCTGATTGGCCCTGTGCTGATCACATGCACCCTCACAAATAAAAAAAAGCTCTCTAGCAATACACACCAAACTGAGAATGTGCAGCTTGTCCCCAAGCTATGTTTGATCAGCAAATGGATTAGGTATAGTAGAAGAAGGGGAGGATCAAAGAAGATAGGATCAAACAGCATTTTTACACAATGCGGAGGATTAACCCCTCAGGTTCCACAGTGAGTATAACAAGCATGCTTTACTACATATACAGACTAATTTTACTGTTGTGAGTTTGGTAACACTTTAAATTTAAAAAGAAAATGTTTTAAAAATAAAAGTTGAAAAAAATAATTTGAAAATCACCTCCAAACAAATATGTAAAAGCCCTCTGCCGCCATGTACATGTAAATATGAGCACAAAGGCCTGTTGGGTGCACATGTATAAAATAAAGATGATTGTAACACACATGTTAGCCATCGCTATACATGCTGGAGTGGGAGCAATAATTTTAGGGCCATCATTCTCTAAAAACTCTAAATTGATGCTGAATTGATTGTAAATTGACAAATTTGACTACCATGGTATTTCACTGTCTTAGTGGCGTGCACAATTTGTGGGGGTAGACATATTTGGTGTCTATTTATTGGTTGTAACCTCATCTTTTTATTTTACCCCCCAAAATAGGTATTATAATGTGTTTGTGTGCAATAGAATTAATTTCAGTATTTTTAATGAAAATATAGATTTGATAAATGGTAGCATAATTATAATTTGTTATATAAAACTGCAACTGCTATGGGGTCTCTGATTGCAGAGCATATAATGTTTTGGGGTGTTAAGTAATCTCCAGACCCAAAAAAGGCATATGTGCAAATGTGAAGGAAAAAAAAAAAAAAAAAAAAAAAGAGCTTCCGGCAATGAAAGGGTTAAAGATAGGGCTTAGGGTCAAGTTAATGCTTAAGTTATAGGATCAGGTTCAGTTTTAAATTTCAGGATTTGGTTTGATTTTAAAGTGATTGTAAACCCTTCATTTTTATTATGGTATATTTACCTGTGCTGTGCAAAGGTTTTGCACAGAGCAGACCTGATCCTCCACTTTTCTGGTCCCCCGCTGGTGCTCTTGGCTCCTCCCTCCTGAGTGGCCACCATAGCAAGCCTCGGCCCTGCCCCCCCGATCCCTCCTCACTGTCTGTGGGTGAGGAGGGAGACCCGGAAGAGTCGTTGTTTTTCATGCACAGTGCTGGATGGAGAACAGACTCAGGTAGGTATAAGGGGGATCTGGAGGGGCTGCAATCAGAAGGTTTTTTACCTTCATGTAGGTAAAAAAACCTTCAGCCTTTAGAACCACTTTAAGTTTAGGACACATTTTAGGTTTCAAGTGAGGAGAGTGTTAAATATTTGGAGAAGCCTAAAGGGTTAGGGTAAAGTGGTTCTAAAGTCTTAGCATTTTCTACCTTAATGCAGTGTATGCATTAAGGTACAAAATGCTCCACTGCCTATTCCCCCTGCTCCTGCCAACCCCTAATCTGTCTTCAAACACTTACCTGACTCCTCCACTGATCCAGCCTTGTTCTTTCTTCCTCTTCTCACAGGAGATTCTGAGAGCAGTACAAGCCACAGGCTCCTGCTGCTGTCAATTAAACCCTAAGAGGATGGAGCAGGAGTAAGGCAGTGTGAGTCTATGGACGTGTACAGCCTGGCACGAGAGCAGATAAGTATAATGTCTTTTTATTTCAATGACTGAACCTGTATTCTACACAGAAAGCCCAACCCAAAGAACACTCAGAAATAAGACACAAGGTATGGGGGAGGACCTTGGCATAGGCCCCTCTGTTGACCTGCACTGTTGTTTTCAGTGTTGTTATTTTGTGATGTTGTCTCTGTTTTCTGATGGCGAAGGGCCCTTATTTTATCTATAAGCATTTAGAAGCATTGGGTGGATGTATTTTGTTGCACTTCCTTTCTGCTATGTTTGTCAATTTTTCCTTTTTTGAAAAGAAAAGATTTTGCAAAAAAAAAAGAAACAAGACACGAATATTCCATGGTCACTGTCAACTGCAGGTCATGAATATTTTAATTGTTAATTTATGAAATGCAGCTTCTAATATTAAAAGCGCTTTAAGTAAATATATTGCGTCGAATATTAGACTATGCAGCAACATACCTGTCCATCAGTTCCTATTGTTCCTCCGCATTCAGTTAGTAGTTCAGACATATCATAATAGCTGGTAAACTCCCACAGGCAGGCCTCCAGATTTAGGTTGCGGTAGAAACGCAGTGTATTGGAGCCACGGAGTTGTGTGCTGTACTGGTATGGAGATGTCTCCCCTATGACATTGGGGTTCTTGGTGGCATCTGTTAAAAAGCCATAATTTGTCCTCACTTCATTGTAGTCTAGAAGATTGGAACATTTGTGGTTTCCAACCCGAGTACCATCGGGGCTGAGCGTGAGCTCAAAGTTAGACAATTCTCTTGTTGAAACAACTGGCAGCATGCCTAAAATTGAAGAATACACACACAATAAGTAACACATTTCATTAGTTTAATTATCCTGTAAATACATAACTATCGGTTACAAAGAACCTTGTGGGCCTGTTCACACCAGAACGCGTACAGAAAACCAGCGTTCCGTGCATGTTTCCCGCACAGTGTTCATATCGCGCTGCAGTTCCTGGTGTAATCTGGCCCTTAATCTTTTAGAAACAACAAAGTGAAGCACTCAATGTACGTCTATATTTTTCAGTTGGGATGAGCGATATACAAAGATAAGTCATATAAAATGCACACTGACAACTTTCTTTTTAAGGGAGTGGGTTGCCTAGGTAAAGTAAAATAATTAAATTCTAGATGTATTGTTACTTGTGAATTAGCACAGCAAATCAACACAACTCAAAAAGAAACACAGCCCCCAAAGTTTCATTTTACAGTTGTAAGTTCAGCCAAAAGATACATTTTTGGAATAGATTGAGGAAGGTTTAGACACAAGTAGAAGTTCATTTGAACGTTCAATGGAAATCGCTCGCCAGAGAACTCTACCTTGCTATCATTAAGTCATCTAATTTAATTTGAAAATTCTTAAAATCTCATCCAGACCTGCTACTTGAATGGAATCGCAGACATATTAAAGAGGTTTCATTATACACAATTTTTCCTGAAAATCACTTTTTTATCGCTAGAATTTTGTTTGTTCAAGAAAAAATTTCCATACTCATGCTTCGAATTTAATTCTCTCTGTGGCTGAAATCAAACCTCAATTTGACCCCATTAAACATTGGAAAATTGAACAAACATTCCATTTTCAGATGTAATTCTACTTGTGTGCCAACCATTAAATCATCTGTCAAGTTGTAATTGTTGTGTGTTGCAGTGTTCCCCCTCACTTTCTGTCCTGGTGACCAAGTGGGCATTCTTTCATTGGAGAGAAGTAGAAGGTAAATGCAGATCTCCAGTTGAACTTTTCCTCTCTGCAAATTGCTCATTATATACTTCTGTGCAGAATGTACCAATGACTCAGTGACCCCCTCACCAGTAATAGCTTGTTCCCCTTAGCAAAATACAGAGAATGCACTCCAAACAGGGGAAACAGGGATCACAGATCCAAGTAATGCTCTATTGGTTAGGACATGAAGAGAAATCTCCCCAAAACAGAACTAAAGTATAAAACAATAAAAGTTCATATATGTTTTAACACGTTAAAGTGATTAGAAAGTCTATTTTTTAAAAATAAAATATTAAACAGGTTTATACTTACCTGTTCTGTGCAATGGTATTGCACACAGATGCCCGAACCTCCTCTTCTGGGATCCCATTCCGATTATCTTGGCTCCTCCTTCTCTGTGTCTGCCCCCAAAGTCAGTCACTTGCTATGGTGACAGATGTGTGGGCTTGCCCCTGAGCTGGGCTGTGCAGCGGCTCGGCCCCACCCTGCTCTCTGCTCACTGGCCAATGGCTCCTACTGTTCTTAGCAAAGCGCGTTAGACCAGGAAGAGAGGGAGAGAAGACCTGCAGTTGGGCACAATGCTGGATTGGTACAGGTGTCAGGTAAGTGTTAGGGAGAAGGAACACACAGTGGAGGGTTTTTTTTTGCCTTAATGCAGAGAATGCATTAAGGTAAAAAAACCTTTAGACTTTAGAACCACCCTAATGTAATTTCAAAAGTAATATTCAAAATGTATAATTCTGTTAATTTCATTAAAATAATAGCTTGTGATCCTGTCCTAAAGGATATTGTGCACTTGCTGGTTTAAGGATAGAACACACTGTGGTTGATTTACTAAAAAAAACAGCTTACTTTGCAAGTGCAAGTGTACTCTTTTTTTTTTTCCCCTGGAGCTTAGTGAATGTGGTGAAGCTTCACTTTAAAAAGAATACCTAATTAGGTCAAGGAAAATAATAGCATTTTTGCTTGCACATGATTGATTGATGGAAATCAGCAGAGCTTCACCATAATTACTCAGCTCTGGTGAAAATGAGTTCAACTGCACTTGGAAAGTGCACAGCCTTTAGTAAATCTAGCCCAGTGGTGCCATAATTGTCATGCTCTCACATGGGCTTCCATTCAAGAGTACAAGTGGCCATTCCAAAACACATTAGGCAGGTATGGTTGTTGTTGTCAGCATCAAACAAACCCACCCTGAGAAACGCCATAGAGCCATCGCTAAAGTGCATGAGATAGCTGTAAAAAGGTTACAGGTGATCAGCAGCACTGGGATGCAACAAAACAAAATAAACAGGACAGTGAAAACAAGAATTTTATCACTTATTATACACAGGATATAACTATAGGAAGACAGCTGAATGAATTGCATTTCTTTCCATTTTTTTTATATAAAACAATTGTCACATTAAAACATTATCTGTGGCTTACCATCAATGTGAGGCAGAGTAATGGTGACTTTAATTAATTTGGATGGTCAGAGTCATCCGGACCTGTATATCGCATTTTAGCAGAGAACGGTTCTGCTCCCACTACTCCGTGCACTCTAGGCTGGCAAAGACCTGTGAAGGGAGAAACAGCATGCAGAGATCATTCAACAATACCCAATTGATACCTAAACTTTCCTTAACCCCAAACTGCAGTCAAATGTGTGAAAACTCCAAGCACACTATATTCATAATTGCATAAACATCACAATAATATTGACTGAAAGCATGCCCATGCATTCAGCAAACATACTGTACATAATGTCCTACTACTAACAATTATTCCATAGATCTAACCAATCAAAATAATTTTAACCCCAAAGAATTATCTTTTGAGATATAATTAGGCCCATAGATATAGCAGTCATTGCCTTAGTCTGATCTTCCCAGAAACAATCATTTTCCTAGTCTCTTTAAAAAATAAATAAAAACAATATTGCGGCATAGCTCACCATCATCTGTGCTTATTGTCACAATGGGGCTCAGAAGTTCCAGACCTTCATGTCCATCTGAGTTGACTGCACGTGCTGCGCACTGCACCCGCGAACCGGCTTGGAAGTAGATAGAATCCAGAGTGATCATTTTTGAGGATGTGAAGAATGTGTCGAAGTCCACCTCTCTCATAGGACTGGTCACTCCATCCAGACCCTTGGGGGCACTGACCAGCCAGCGGTAACGTGTCAGCGTATCATTAATGTTTTCACTGGTGCATATAGAACCAGTTTTATCATAGTCTGAATATTTAGGTTACAAGCCTGTGAGAAAGAGAACGTGTTCAAAGATTAAAAGACACAGAAAAAAATAGCCCACAAAAACAACACTAGGGCACTTCATATGGGCAACCTGTGTAGCCTTTACAAAGCAGTCACTTTCAGCAGTATGAAAAAAGATCTTAAAAATGTGTTTTATTTCAAATTTTAGAGTTTATGGAGTTTTATTCCTTGAAGCAGTTGTCAAGCCATATGACCACTGACTGTAAATTGTGAGGATGATGTTAATGTGCTCTTAGTTACTAAAATAGTTGCCCCAAAATACAATTTCTGCAGTTTTTAAAAGAAGTCACATGACAGCTCTATTAGTTTCTTACAGCAGTTTTTGGGACGAACATAAGCAGTGCCTGAAACATTTCCAGCAACTTAGCATCAGTAGCTTTGGAAAAGAACAGCGATCAGCCATCTCACCAAATTCTTTTGATAGGAGACACTGATGAACAGCCTTGGCCTCTACAAGCCATCCTAAATTTAAAGTTCCACAGGAAGAAAAGCTAGCACTCCAATAGATATTTTCAGGTATGTTTTATTTAGTACAGGTGCTTACAGTTCTGTGAAAAAAGCCCCCGTCCTGATTTTTTTTTTTTTGCATATTTGTCACACTTAAATGATTCAGATCATCAAACAAATTTTAATATTACACAAAGATAACCCGGATAAATACAAAATGCAGCGTATAAATGAGGATTTAATTTATTAAGGGAAAAAAGCTGTCTAAACCTGCCTGGCCCTGTTTGAAAAAGTAATTGCCCCTAAACCTAATAACTGGTTGTGCCACCCTTGGTGGCAACAACTGCAATCAAGCGTTTTTGATAACTGGCTATAAGTCTTTCACATCGCTGTGTAGGAATTTTGACTCACTCTTCTTTGCATAATTGTTTTAATTCAGCCACATTGGGGGTTTTTGAGCATGAATGGCCTGTTTAAAGTCATGCCACAGCATCTCAATCAGATTTAAATCTGGACTTTGACTAGCCACTTCAAAACCTTAATTTTGTTTTTTTTTTTGAGCTATTCAGAGGTGGACTTGCTAGAGTGTTTCGGGTCATTGATCTGCTGCATAACCCAAGTGTTCTTGAGTTTGAGGTCACAAACTAATGGCTGGATATTCTCCTTCAGGATTTTCTGGTAGAGCACAGAATTCATGGTTCCATCAATTATGGCAAGTCGTCCAGGTCCTGAAGCTGCAAAGCAGCTCCAGACCATCACACTACCACCCCCATGTTTGACTGTTGGTATGATGTTCTTTTTATGAAATGCTGTGTCAGTTTTACGCCAGATGTAATGGGACATGCACCTTCCAAAAAGTTCAACTTTTGTCTCATCAGTCCACAGAAATATTGGCCGAAAAGTCTTGGGGATAATCAAGGTTTTTTTAGTAAATGTGAGATGAGCCTTTGTGCTCTTTTTGGTTAGAGTGGCTTTCGCCTTGGAACTCTCCCATGGATGCCATTTTTGCCCAGTCTCTTTCTTATTGTTGAATCATGAACACTGACCTTAACTGAGGTAGGTGAGGCCTGCTGTTCTTTAGATGTTGTTCAGGGTTTGTTTATGACCTCTTGGATGAGTCATTGTTGTGCTCTTGGAATAGCTTTGGTAGGCCAACCAGTCCTGGGAAGGCTCACCACTGTTCCAATTTTTCTCCATTTGTGGACAATGGCTGTTACCGTGGTTTGCTGGAGTCCCAAAGCCTTAGAAATGGCTTTGTAACCCATTCCAGGTTAATACATAATTAATTATACAGATTAATAATACATGTAATTTACTTTGTTTCTCATCTGTTCTTGAACGTTTTTATATTTCGGCATAATGTGTTGCTTTTTGAGATCATTTAGTATGCTTCACTTTGTCAGACAGCTTCTATTTAAGTGATTTCTTGATTCAACAGGTCTGGCAGTAATCAGGCTTGGGTGCTGCCAGTGAAATTTAACTCAGCTTTCCAAAAAAATGCGGGTAATCACAGTTAATTCATGATTTAGCAAGAAGGGGGGGAATTACTTTTTCACATAGGGCCCAGGCAGGTTTGGACAGCTTTTTTTCTCTTAATGAAATCATCATTTAAAAATTGCATTTTGTATTTACTTGGGTTATCTATGTGCAATATTAAAATTTGTTTGATGATCTGAAACATTTCAGTGTGACAAATATGCAAAAATAAAAATAAGCAAGGGGGGGCAAATACTATATTGCAATAGATGGCAAAAATCCAGCCTGACAAGAATGCTTACGCATTTCAGCCTTTTAAAGCATAACTAAAGGCTAAACTTATTTTGTAATTTTGGATAGAGTAGAGAGGGACTAGAACTCCTGTCAGAAGTATTGCTGTCTGTGCTCCTGTTAGGGAAATTCCTTGTCTCTATTAGTTCTGTTAACCGTTATCACCAACAGTGAAAATAAAAGAAAATACCAAATTTTGGGTCAACCCCACAACAGGAACAGAAGTGAAATCTTCCAATGGGGACACTAGTTCTGGTGTCCCTGTGACATAAAGGTATTCCTTCACTTTAGAGGGATTTTCTCTCACTTCCTGTTTTGACTATGGGACAGCAAATGAAGGGAAATCGTCTCTATGGAACACATATGGCAAAAATAAACATCCTTTACTCTATCTAAAATAAATAAAAAAGGTTTTGCCCCTATTTTTACTTTAAGGTCTTACTCAAAACCATCTAGTGCAATAAAACATACTTGAGGATATCTACTGGAGTGCCAGCTTTTCTTGATGTGGGAGATGTCATTAGTGCCTGGGACTGTCACCCGTTACTACTGGTGACAGCTTTATATTGTACTGCCAATGAGGGGCAATGCTGTCCCTTGGACCTAGAGCACTTTGCTCATTGGCTCTTGAGTACTTCTGATCATTTCAAAGTTTCAAAGGCAGGCCCTGTTTGCACTTGTTCCTCACCTTGAATTTGCTGCAAAGAGCTGACTACTTTCAGAGGTTAAGGAAATCAATGAAGGGGTGTGTGTGGGCACATGTCTCACCCAGAAAAACAGATAGTGATAGATTGGCCTTTCCGTTCTCGTACTGTGCATTGACTATCAGTTTTGTCAATGTTGTGCACCAACATTTTTCAACATGACAGAAAATTCCAATGTGTTCACTCAGAATCCCCTCAAGTACTCAAAATGTTTAGTTTTATCAGTTTACTACAATCACTGCTCAGATCTTACACACAACTACCACATACAGTAAAGGTTGGGAAAAGTTCTGGAAATCCAGCTTAGTAAATGTGCTTGGATTCTCTTAATACAGTATAAATATAACCCGGGGACCAATTGTGAAATTATAGAAATGGCATAACCTCCAACTAGCACTCATTTAGAGAGATTTCATCTAATTGGAATGGCCTATCTCAATAGAGAACAGAAGCAGGTAAGGATCTGCAGTCAAATTTGCTAGAATCTTACAGTGTATACAACTGACTAATAATATAATAAGAATAATATTTCTTTCAAACAAAGCCCAAAATTTACTTTGTTTATTACAGGAAAGCTAAACTACTATCTGCTTTATTGGAAAATTGTTACCATTTGTTGTCTCACACTCCTGTAAATTTTCTACATAATACTTACTGTAATGCAGGCAGCAGGGTACCCAGCTACAGGGTTAGGGTTGTCCTTGGCTCTAGAGGTGTCATCATATATAAAAAGAGAGACAACCTGGGGAACGGAGGGGAACGTCACGTCTGCCATGCTGTTCATTTCCTCGATGTACACAATTGCTTTAGTCATCTAAAAATGTTAAATATCACACATTATTCAGATAAGGAAGGCACCTACAGTCTTTATAAGACTTTATATAAGATACAAACAAATGCTCAGCTTGTACCACATGAATGGTCTGCACATGATCATAATATACCTTAAAGTCTATGCTCAACCATGTATTTGTATTGCATAGGGTTGGGAAGGGTTAGAAACTATCATAAACAAGCAGGTTTACTTACAATAAATATACATAAATATATATTATTTTCTCTGTGTGAAGATGACTCTAGGCCTCTAGGACTCTAGGAAAGTTACAGATGAAAGATGATCCGAAGTCTGTTGCTCTGCCAACTGCTTGAGCTCATGGCGATAACACCCGCTGTGTCCTTGATGTACATAAAAGTGTCACATTACCAAGTGATGTAGTTAAAATGGAATGTAAACCACCATAGGGCCCAGTGTCGGATGGTGTTGTGGATATTTAGGAGCTGGAAGACAGCGTGTATTATCAGCAGGAGTTCAGGCAGCTAACAGGACAGCAACTGTCAGACCTCATCCAACAAGTCACTTATGACACTTCAATCATTGTAAGAAGAACGTAAATAGAAATATTAAACCTGCAGAGCTTTAATATCGGAAGAATAAACGTTCAGATTCTTACAAAAGCCCAGGAGTGACCTTTTCTCTTTAAAGCACAATTTCCATCTAAAGAAAAGTCAGTTGGCAATGCTGCATTTCACAAATGCATGTAGACGTGTGTAGGTCAGCCTTGTTTGATCAAGACAAAAAAACAAATGAAACTGAGGAATAGACTGAAGCAACAATGAAAATACATTAAAAAGGGCTTTATTCTACTGCACCACTCCCCAGCAGTTTGTTCTCTACCTCAGAAATTAAAACTAGTAAAAAGAAAGGCAGTTAAAAGCCATAGCTGAAGATTTTTTTGAATGGTGAAGCACTGACATGTTTCACTCATGGATGGAGATGACCATTCAGAAGCTGTCTAGTCTGTACTGTCAGCACTGCAAGGAAAGGAGAGAAAGCCACAAGGATTTCAAATCCCTGGGCCTGTGAACCGTCTTTTCAGTGTTTGACAACAGGGTATCAGCAATCTGTTACAGCAGGACAGAGGGGGATCCAGTGGATGGCTGGAACTGCTGGAGGCTGGGCGGAGAGAGCTGCTGGAGGCTGAGGGGAGAGAGCCATGGGAGAGGCAGGAGGAGCCCAAGCCACGGCTGCTGATGTCCACAGTGGGATTGGGAGCCAGGTGGAACCCATTACGCAGGGAGGTTTCCCGCAACGCTAGACAAACCTGGGTTCACACAGGAGTTGTGTGGCAAACCACATGGGATTCAGACAGGAATTGCACCGCATTCCTGTTCAAATTGCAGGCAGTCCGATTCATTTTGTATGGGCTCAAATTGTACCGCAAAGGTATCGGTGCTTGTACTCACTTGTAAAAAAGTGGTATCAGTGCATCCCTAATATATATATATATCCACACACACACATATACAAATATGTATGTGTTGTGTTCATCATTTCTGTTATAAAGTATTATACAGAGAAAAAAAAATGTTAATGATGATTCAATTCTATTCAATCAGTTGTTGGAGATGAGTAATTGTTTCTTTATGTTGCCTTAATTTTTTTGTATTCCGTTCATCTGACTACTTCTCCACCCCATCAGCAATTTGCTAATTTTTTTTTTTTTTTTGGGGGGGGGGTGGGTTCTTTTTTTCAGCTCTAAGGCCTTTCTGCTTAGACCAGAATGATGGCCCCTTACCCAAAGCCCCACATCACCCAAAGTTTCTCATTACGGATCCCAGGAGGCTTTGGGGCTGTTTATAGCCCACTGCTCATGCACAGAGCAGTGTCATCAAGCTGCTGGGACTCGGAAGAGACAGCCAATCTCCTGATGACATCACAAAGAAGATGGAAGACTCTTTTTAAAATTAAACTTATCTTGGATTATTTTATCCAGTTTTAGTCTAGCGCTCCTATCCGGATTTCTTTGGTTTGAGCTAATGTTGGGTGCCCATCAAGCGAAGCCTTGCTGTGTGGGAGCTGCCTCATTAGAACTATTGAGCTTGTTTAATGTTTTCCTTCATCTGACTACACATACAAGTGTAAAAGATCCCAGCACTTAATTGAGTTCGTTTTTCTGGAGACCTGGCAGTGCAGCCTGTGGATGACAGCAGGACAGTGCTGCACGTTGCTGGGCGGGTGAGTATGTTATTTCAGTTACCCCAGCAGAACAGGCAAAAAGGGGTTAATATTAAAACAGCCCAATGGGGACTGAAGTTCCTCTTTAATGATTTTTCAATATGAAACATTTAAAAATATATGGGATATGTGTGGTAGGTTCTAATTACTAACTATTTACATAAACACAGACTGGGCAGCAGCAAAGAGAGATCTATTAATAGGGAGTAATTACCTGAATTTCCGCAACCATATTTTCATCTGGTTTCAAATGTACAGTAAAGGCTTCCCTCATCTCTCTAACTCCATCATATAGCACTTCAATCTCCACAATGTGCTGGGTTTCACCTTCCTTAAATTCAATTTCTACAAATATAAAATAAAAAAAAATAAAAACATAATAAATTATCCCAGACTACAAAAATTACACATAATTACAACTAACCTGGAAAAATTCAGTTAAAGTGACACTAAACACACACACTATTTAATTTACATTGTCCCTTTCTGTATGTGAATGATGGCATGATGGCCCTTGTTGTATGTGAATGATGGCACTGTAATTATTTTAATAATAATAAACATCTAAGTACCTTTTTCCCTAATCGATATACAGCTGTCACATGACCCAGCTCTCTCCCAGCCTGTCTACAGGGAAACATAAGCAGAAGGAGCCTCTAGTCCTCTGTTGCTGGCCACATGTTCAAAATAAAAAAAAATCAGCCTTTGGAATATTGAGTAAAAATAAATAAATAATATCAATAAACGGCTTTAAATGATCATACAAGTGTATATTTTAAAAATCAAATCTGTATTATTTAGTGAAAATAACATGGCATGGGTGGATTTCTGCCAGTCACAGGCTGTTTTACACCCCTCCATCCTGTGTCTTAGAATAAAAGGGAAGTGATTCCTCCATTTTCTCCATGTAATATCCCGCCCCCATTGTGTTTAGCTGGTTAGTGGGCTCTGCTCTCCCTTTCTCTACTACCTTTTCCCTTTCCTTTTTAGATTTTTTTTTACTCTCCCACTCCCCCTTCTCTACTCCCTTTTCCCTTCTTCTTTCCTTTTCTCTTATATTTTAGCATACTAAAAATTGGTATGCTCAGACCTTTGTTGAACACCTCGCATTTGACTTCCCCCATTTACGGGGAACTTTCTTTCCTTTCCATTGCACAGTAGAAGTTTACACGACCCGCCCAGAGAGACCCTCTAAACCTCTATACACTTGTATGGCAGCTTAGGCTCCATGTCCACTGATAATCTCATCTCCTGATAACTGCTCCGAGTGATCTTATTTCCACCAGGATGTATACACATATTGATTTTGCACATGCTATTTTGTATGGATTAAATTTTCTGTGACATTATCATTTCATTGTATATGTTGCATATCACTAAATTAAAAAAAAAATGAATAAACAGAAACCTATTTCCTAATGTGGTTTAGTTTATATGCGTTGCAAAATTCTTTCCAGCTCTTTAGTGGGAGTTGTTCAAACACAAGAAGGATCCTAAAGCTGCATCAGTATGATTATGTGTAAATATTGGGATTTCCTACAAAGAAATCCCTTCTTTGAAAATGACTTCACAAGGTCAGAAGGCTTTGTTTGGACAAACTCCTACACAATAGGATATTTAATTTCTGACTTAAGTCAGGTCTTTGACCAAGGTCAAAAAGAAAAATGCTCAATATAGCTTGGTGCTTTTCTTTTAAATGCTGCCACTTTATTGTTTTAAAACAAACTCCGTTCATATGTTATACTTAGGAATACAAAAGTGTTTTTCTTTTTGCCTAGTTTTTAGGAACTGCTTTAAAACAAACTACAAAAGTGCTTTGATACTGCATTATTGGTTTTTTTAAAATAATTCTCGCTTAAAACTCTGCTGGATCAGCAATATTACTTAGCTAATATAAATATAAAGAAATTAAAATGTGTAAGCAATCAAAAAACAATCATGATGAGTAATTATTATCGCAATCTGTTAAAGGATTAAAGGCCATTGAAATAATCAATAAAAAAATCAAAATTAATATTAAAAACACACTACATTTAGAGGTAATATTTTGTCCAGCTCTGGTAAATCTGATCATCACTGAGTTTCTGAGCTTCTCTATGCAGTGCATGCAGAACATGGCTAGTGGGAGGGGCCAGCACGGTGCTGTACATAGTTTCCTGAAAACATGACAGTACCTTGTCTCAGTAGCTCCTCCCAAGAGCCCTTTGTCTGGATGCAAGCAGTGGGCTCTCTTGGGAGGAGTTATGCAAATCTCAAAGTATCTTCGTTGACAGATGTCAGTCTCGAGCAGTGGGCATTCCTAAACAGACTGAATTTGCATGCAGACTACCCAAGGTAATGTGATGCTGAGTCTCTATGATTGAAAGAACTTAAATCCAATGAATTAAAGGGGCGGTACACAAACAGTTCGGCCTGGAAACTTCCTACAGCTTGATGATTCTGAAGTCCTCCAGGCATGAAATCAGCCAGGCTCTATCTGACTAGCTGGAGCTTATATTGCACACTGTGATAAGCTCACAGTGTGCAATGAAATCAGAGTAAGCAATTTCAATATATGGGAGGAGCCTGCACAGCTGTGCAAGACTGAATGTAAGACTGGAGTTTGACTTTAAAGTGACACTAAAGTCATGTTATACTTACCTGCTCTGTGCAGTGGTTTTGCACAGACAAGCCCGGATCCTTCTCTTCTCAGGTCCCTCTTGTCAGGTGCCAGGAGCTTGCTAAGGGGACACCTGAGCAGGCACACTCCCGAACTGCAGCTCTGCATGTCCATTCACAAACAGAGCCACGGCTCGGTCCCACCCTCCTTCCTTTTCTGATTGGCTCACTGGCTGTGCCTGACAACAGCATGAACCAATGGCTCCTACTGCTGTCTCAGCCAATGAGGAGGGAGAGTCCACAGAGAACCAAGGCTCTTGTGCACATAGTTGGATCACGATGGGGCTCAGGTAAGTATTGGGGGGGGGGCTGGGGGGCTGCTGCAAACAGAAGGTTTTATACCTTCATGCATAGAATGCCTAGGCTACTTCTGTGCAATAATAAATGTAATCATTGTCTAGTCAACATATCACTGGATTAGATAGAGTCCTTTTAAATATCTGCTTGGAATTCAGCTTTAAATAAAAAAAAAAAAAACGTCACCAAACAGATCATAATTGTTCCTTAGGTTTCCATTCTGCATTCCTGAACTTACTGTATATTGTTACCATACCGCATGCATTCACTTGTTGTATCATGAGATCAATAAGCTCATCTCAGACAAATGCCAACATGTTGCTATGTGGGTGAGGAATTGATCAACAGTCTATAAACAGAATGGAGTGTACCTTCTGACACAGGGTTGTAATCTTCTCCAGAGGTAGCAGAGCCATCCTTTGTGTGAACACGTACAATGGAGACCTTTGAAGTGTCTCCTAGACGAACAACTGGAATTTTTACAACTACGATTTGTCCGGGTTCCTTTGGTTCACTCACACTAAACTTGGTGTCTCCAAACTTTATGATTGCCTCTGAAAAATAGAACATTTATGAGATAATGTAGCTATTATTTGAATTCTCAAAGTACCATTTTATGAGTGTCTTCCGGTCTTACTGTCTGCGTCATCTTTAATCTTGATCAAAGTCTCGTTGAGTTCTCCAATGGATGCTCCAAAGGGAGAATCACTTTTTGGAGTGCCAAGGACCAGTCGCAGCTCTTCCTCCTCTTCGTGGATTGAATCATCCACAAGCACAACAGTGCAAGGCCGTTCTGTTTCTCCTATACACATGTAAATTGGAAATCATTTTACTATAAGTAGCATGGTGTGTGTTTTCTAACTAATAATCCATTTACAATACTGAAGATAAAATACCTTTTGTGGGTCATACATAAAGCAATTTCAACCACTATAACCTAGCTTTCACCCAAAATTTATTTAAAGTGGTTGTGAAATCTTACATATACTCAGTGAAGTGACTGGCCTCAGGTGATACACGGAGATTAAACAAATCCTCCTACATAAGTTGTACCTGTTTATCTGCAATATTCTCTTCCCTATATCTGTTCAAGGTACTGAATTTATAAAGCTTTGAGAGTTCAGAAAAAAGGGGGAGGAGAGCTGAAACTACAGTCTGCAGAGCTCAGTGAGGAGAGCTCTGAGAGCTGATTGCAGGGAAGAGACAAACCTCCTTTCACACAGTTCACAGGAACAGAGCTGAGGCTGTCAATCTGCTGGAAGTCCCTTCCCATCACCATTTTCCTCTTGTCAGAAGTGATTCATGCTGATAGCAGAAGAACAAAGCAGCAGACGGAAATGATGCTTAGTGCTCTTAAAAGTACATACTATAGAGGTGTATGCTTTGCTCATATTTTATGTCTGAGGTTTACAAGCACTTTAAGCCTAGGTGGCTAATTACAAATTTAGCTAAATTTGGCACATGAGCCAACTCAAACTTTATGGCTAATTTGTATGCTTAATTGATATTTGTGAGGACATACAAGGTTTTTATACTGTATAAGCTGCAACGTTTAAAAAAAAACATTGCTTTGAATGTTATTATCAACTGACAAATGCGCAAAAATGTAATCCACAGTTGCTGGCTGTCAAAGGGAAGAAGCTATTTAACATACCCTTAGTATGGGCCATCGTAGGGGAATCTACAGATTGTTGGCAGTAAGGGGTTATTTAGCCCATTACCTAACCAAACAGATCGTCATCATTTCTTGGAAACTGTAGTTGATAGGTTACTTTAATCCGTTTCCTTGCTTTTTAAGATTTAAAATAGGTTAAAAGACATTGAAATTGCCAGCAAACTATTGTATGTTCCATAGCAACTTTAGAAATTAGCCCTCTAATTTTGGCCTAAAGGGTGTCAAGTCAAGCAGATCATACTTTTCTTCTGTATTTGATATGTTTTTGAGCTGCATTCCCATAGGCTTTTAGAGAAATAGAAATCAGAGCAGAACAGTAAAAAAACACATACCGCAGAAGCATCTAAATTAAACTAAATCACTTCTGGGTGGACTTATCCTTCTGTATGAAACATTGACATTAGTCTGGGGTGGATGGTGATCTTAAGATATAAGGAGCATTATTATTTTATCTTGTTTTAGACTCTGGTTATACTTTATGTATATTAGGTGATATAAGGTTTGATTTAGTAAAGGCAAATAGACTGTTCACTTCTAAAGGAATTTTCTCCAGAGCGTTAGGTAATGAGATGAAGGTTTGGCAACTTCTATCATCATGTTTTTTATTTTGCTTGCACGTGATGCAAAGCAAAAACCCCCACATTCACTAAGCTCTGCAAAAAACTCCCTTGCAAAGTGCAACTTCATTTACAAGGTGAACAGTCTAATTCTCTATTGTAAATCAGTCCCATGGTTTATAAAATCTATGACTTTGACACTACGTATAAATTAATGAATCAATTATTTGTATTACAGTTGATACATTTGAAAAATTTACCTCCTTTGAAGGTATGCTTTTATAATAAAAGCTTTAAATAAAGACTCATACTCATATCCTCTCTGGATACCAATATACACAATACCTGGAAGGAAGGTGATGACTGAGCTATCTGTATTTGGTCTCTCTTCAAAGTCCATCATCACTTGAGCAGATCCTTGGCGGGTATAACAACGTACTGTAGACTTATAACTGACATCCCCACTTCTGTAGACCATGGCTGTGATCTTCCCATCCTTTTCCTTGCCCATGTACATTGGTTCTCTGAACTGCACCTTTGGCACTTTGAAGAAGAAACATTGTTTACTTTATGTACATCTCATACAGAAACCTGTAATGTTGTTGATTATGGTACATATACTATCTGGCCATATATTTGTAGAAACCTGTTACAGAGCTTCTTGAAAGTCCCAACCAATTTGTAGCTGTTCTAGGAAGGCCTTCCAAAAAATCTTGGAGTGTCTGTGGAATATGTGCCCATTAAACCAAAACAGCATTTGTGAGATCCGGTACTGATGTTGGACAAGAAGTACTTGCTCATAATTAGTGTTCCTCCACAGCAAACTTTACTGACCTAGCTTTGTGAAAAGAGGCACAGTCATTCTGAAACAAAAATCGACTTCCCCAAACTGTTGCCACAAGGTTGGAAGCACACCACTGTCTAAAATGTATTTGTATGCTGTAGCACTAACAGTACCCTTCACTGGAGACACCAAACTCACTCAATTGGAGGCCAGTCAAAATGCTTTTGGCCATATAGTATAATGTATATTCCATGTCACTGAGCTACCCTCAACTGTGATTCCATATGTTGGTTGAACCTAGGTCTTTTTTCAACCAGAATAACTAACTATCTATGTATAAAATATACTGCTATTAGGGCTAAAGTAGTTACGGCTTGAATCTAACTGGTTACTTTGGCAAAACAAACAGATTTCTTCATATATACTCAACTGATTTAGGGTTTTTGAAGAGACAGCTTGTTCTTAGATAATTATATAAGGCTGAAAACGTGTAGTTGTAGCTGGGTAAAACTCCATTTTGGGACTGATAATTTACATGCAATATAAAATAAATGTAATCACTTACAGTCAGAGACTGTGTCATTGATGAAGACTATAGCTTTGCTGGGCTCCCCAAGGACAGCATTCATTGGCATACGCAACACAAGCTCAAACTTCTCGATCCCCTCCAGTACCGGCTGTCCCAAGTCATCCAGAATGACCACACGGAATGTTTGCATGTTCACACCTGGCGCAAAATCCAGATTCCGACTGATACCTACGTAGTCAATGCCAGCTAAAAAAAGAAAAAAAATAACCAGATTAATTGTACAACTGTGTTGAAATTATTAAAGTATAACTAAAGGGTAAACTTTTTTTTCTAGTTTTGGATAGAGGGGAGATTAGAACCCCTGTCAGTTTTCATTGCTGTCCGTGCCCCTGTTAAGTAGATTCACCCTGTATACCATTATCATTGAAAGGAAAAAAAAAATCCCAAATTTTGGGTTGTCCCCAGAACAGCAATAGAGGGTAAATCCTCCAATGGGGACACTAGTTCCCAAGGGATACCCATAATTTGCAGGGATTTCCTTTGACTTCCTGTTCGGTTAAGGGACAGGAAGTGAAGGGAATTCTCCAAAATGGAACACAGATGGCGAAAAAAAATTGACAAGGGTTATAACCCTCTCTTGAAAAAGTTTTGCCTATAGTTCTACTTTAAATGTATTTACATTTAGATTAATATCTATCATACCTTTATACAGTCTACTGACGTAAGATTTTGAAATAAATAAGAATTAATAGAAAAAAGGAAACTTTAATTGAAAGTGGACTGGAACTCAAAACTAAAGTTTGTCTATGATATACTGAAAATCTAGAAATGGTCATTAAGCCTAAGCAGTACACATACAAATGTACCTTCTGAATTCCTACAAAAAAATATCAGTGCACTTCCTGGTATGTGAGAGTGCCTAGGCATCCTAGGGCATACAGTTCCCTAGCTGTATATCTGATGTGTGAGATCTAAGACACTGCTGTTTGTGACTGCTCGTTATAAAAGGGGCAGCCCAGATAAGAGAAAGCATTACCCTGCTTCTCTACTTGGATGGTCAAGATGCAGAGTGCCCACAGGCACTACTAATGACTAGAACAATGTTCAGGTCTTTAAATCCAAGGTCACCCAAAACAGATAGTGAATCTACCAGTTATTCTGAAATGTGAAGGCAAAACTGGATCTGTGGATCCATGAGTAGGTTCTCATACCAGTAACCAGATACATAAAAAACAAAGGTAAGTAGGAAGCCCAGAGCAGTGGTTTTCCATGCTGTTATCTTTTGCATGCATCTGTTTTTATTTTTCTTTTTAAACATACAGATCCTGGTTTGCTTCTGCACCTTCACATTTGTCAATTTGCATGCAAACGTTCATGGGATTCAGTGTTTGGTTCTGGAATTTAATGCAGCAAGAAATGTCGCTTCCAAAAGTGTAGGATAAAATAATATACAGAGAATTCAGGTAAAGGAAATACGGAACCATTACACATTACCCATGGCTGGTGGGGAAGGACACTAAGGCTACATTCACACCAGCCTCCTACTTTTGTTTTATTTAAACACATGAGAAATGATCTGGGAAATTTAAAACAACGTTTTCCATCCCAGATGAATTTCTCCTGTTTAAGTGCACTTTGTGTTTTCATATGTTTAGATGTGTTCAGAGCATCTAAGCTGCCCCGGAACTCGCAGAATTAAAATATTTTCAAATGTAAAAAAAACTGATTGTATCTAGATTCTAGATTTCATTTTCCTGTAGCCATATCTTTGAAATATGAAATCTGATTGCTACTCTATGGGGTTGATCTACTAAAGGCAAATAGTCTGTGCATTGCAAATGCACCGCAAGTGCAGTTGCTTTGTATCCCAAGGGGAAGCTCAGAAATGAGGCGAATGATGCTGTGCTGTTTTTTTTTTCCTTGAATGTTCCCCTCAGATCTAGAACAAGTACACTTGGAGTGCACAGCCTATTTGCCTTTAGTAAATTAACCCTTATGTATTGCTGCATTTGTTTTTTATCATCCTGAATAATCCTGAGTTTGTCCATATAAAGAATCCATTGTAAGCCAAAGTATAGTTACGACAACAGCACAGTGGCTCAGTGACATTGGCATCCTCACATACAGTATACACTCAGTTATTCAAGAATGTAAATAGCAAATGCAGCAATGCATAGCAATCAGTCAGACTGGAGTTTGCAAGTTATCCTTGTGCTTGCATGGGTTGCGTGGGTTTCCTCCAGGTACTCCGCTTTCCTCCCAAACTCCAAAGACATGCTAGTAGGTTAAGTGGCTCAGTCTAAATTGACCGTAGTGTTTATATGTAAAGTTTGTGAGTAAGGGACCTTAGAGTGTAAGCTCACTGAGGGCAGAGACTGATATTAATGTACAATTTACACTCACCAGCCACTTTATTAGGTACACCTTGCTAATGCCAAGAAAATATCCCCCCCACACCATTATACCACCACCAGCCAGAACTGTTGGTACAAGGCAGGATGGATCCATGCTTTCATGTTGTTTACATCAAATTCTGACTCTACCATCTGAATGTTGCATCAACCAGTCTGCCCATTCTCCTCAGGCCTCTGACATCAACAAGGCATTTTCATCAATAAATAAAATAGGTGCAGCGCGCTAAAAATATAATATCAAATCAAGTATGACCACATATATATACATACGGTGCTAAATTGCACCAAATATATAAACCAGTCTATTGTGTGAATATTCGTGAAAGCTTGACTCGAATAGTCAGCAGAATTGGAAGTGAAATCCTCTTTTGTAGCTATTAGAAGTGACTCCGTGCTCCAAACATAAATTGCGCACTCACCAGATGCACAAGGAAAATGTGCATTGAATATAAAATCTCTGCGGGGTCCCCTTTAAGGTAGATCAGTCATCCTGCCAGAAATATGGATCCTCTGTCCGGACACCAGCTCGCTAGAGCCCTAACGCGGTGACATCACGCCGCCAGAGTCGCTATATATATGTGAAGGCATTTTCATCTACACAACTACCGCTCACTGGATATTTTCTCTTTTTCGGACCATTCACTGTAAACCCTAGAAATGGTTGTGCGTGAAAATCCCAGTAGATCAGCAATTATTGAAATACTCAGACCAGCCCATTTGGCACCAACAACCATGCCACGCTCAAAGTCACTTAAAACCCCCTTTTTTCCCCATTCTGATGCTTGGTTCGAACTTCAGCAGGTCATCTTCACCACGTCTACATGCCTAAATGCATTGAGTTGCTGCCATGTGATTGGCTGATTACCAACTTGTGTTACCAAGCAACTGAACAGGTGTACCTAATAAAGTGACTGGTGAGTGTATTTACCTGTAAAAATTAAACAGACAGAATGTGAACATTTTACCCTGTACACAACGCATGGTCCATTATACAAGCAGAAAGGAACAAGTTCAATTGTAAAAAAAAATAGTATGTACAAAGCAGATTTGTAAAACTCCTGCTTAACCAAATCAAATTGAAAAAAAAATGTCAAGTTAAATTTATATTTCTATAAGCTTTCTATAAATCCATGAGACATTTAACAAATAGGTACAGTAGATATTTTTTCTAGATAGAAAGATAAATAGATAGACGGACGGACGGACGGACGGGACGGACGGACGGACAGACAGACAGACAGACAGACAGACAGACAGACAGACAGACAGACAGACAAGGAAATATTACTCTATAATGCTCACCAACTGCTGAGACTGGTTCTGTCTTCTGTGAACGCACAGTAACGGTGGCGGTTTTTGACAGATCAGTACCTGTCCTCCACACATGCACTTCAATGTATCCTGCACTTTCATCCACGTACAATTCCACATCACCAAAGTAGAAAGCAGGTTCTAAAAAAAGCAGAATTTGATCAGATAAACAAACAAAACAATGTAGAATTGCCTCTGAATTCATTTTAGCATTACTAAAATTCATAGAAATAAGAGTCTGAAAAATATTCAGTAGACAGCTGACTGATGGCTCTTCCTGGGGATTGCTGCACATTTGTAACTCTTCCACTATCTCTAAACATACAATGGTTTGTTCACACCATAAGCATCGGTTAATGCAGCAAAAATGCAAAGGCATGAGAAAACACATTGCTTTTGGCGTTGCCAGTTTCCAAACATTTGCTGCATTTAGGTGCACTGACTTTCTGCTTTTATTCATAGCATGTTAGGCTCCATGCACACGGGACACTTCTGAACGATGGAAATTGACTGCTGGAAAACGTAAGTTAAAAAACATCTGTTTAGCCACGTTTGCATACCGCGTTTATGAGCATTTGCGTTTAAAATAGTTTTTTAAAGATAACCTCAGGGGACCTTCCAAAATGCCCAGAATGCACTGAAAAACAGTAAAAAATTAACTATTTCAGACATTTTGAGAGAAATAGAGAGAGCAGAAGCAGAGAAAGCAGTATGTGTTGAGATTAGTTGTTTTTTTTTTTTTTGTGGTGTTTGGATGTGTTCCAACTCATTTCTGTGCAGAAATGATTGCAGCAGAGTCTAACATATTTTCTTTCATGCGAAACCTCAAAGAATGGTGTACCAGGTCCATTTGAGTACCGGGAAAACGCTTTGCATGCATTTCTCATGATGAATAAAGGCTCTGGTCAGCATCTAGAAATGGAAGAGTTAAAAAAATTTTTCCAAACATGGTTAGCCGCATTTACAAGCGTTTGAAATGCTGATAAAATCTACTCCTGAATGCAAGTTTGGTGCATTCAAAAAAGATTACTGTAAACTCAACTGCCTGCAAACAACTGTAAACGACATAGTGTACATGGACACATAGGAAGACATTAAGGAGAGTTCATGGGCTGCTGAAAAAAAGCCAGAAAAGCTCCTAAACGTGAGTTTATCAGCTGCAGTGTACATGGAGCCTTACAGTACAAGTAAATCTATAAACAGCATCCAATGCTATATTCTGTAAATATATATATATATATATATATATATATAAATATATATATATATATATATATATATATATATATATATAAATTGTCTGCTAAATAAAAATGAATTGATTTTTTTCTCCATGTTTGTGAGCTCTCCTTAGCTCATTTTGATGCAAAAAATTCATTTACAGGGTTTTAAACAGCCAGAATGAAACAGAATTGTAGCAGCTAATGCTATGATGTGTCTGTAGATAACCCATAGTGCTCTGGGCTGCTTTAAATGGATTGAGTAGGGACATTAGATTGTAAGTTACTCAGGGACAGAAAACTATTGGGAATGATCTACAAACTTTGCTGAGGAAATTTTTTTACTGTATAACATATAAAATGATCAAATGCCTGCTTAGACAACTGTTAGGAGTGAATATCACTGTGCAGATTTTTTTTTTTTGTATGATTGCTCTTATGTTCCCATCACAATAATAATATTTGTCAAAGATGCCAATTGTCTGCATCCAACTGATATGGTCATGCTCAGAGATTGCCAAGTCAATTGTAGATCAGGCCACCCACAGCTGAAAATGTGATGTTGGGTGGCCTAATCTGCATATGTATGCCCAATTTCACAAAAGAGCCAAATAACAGTGTCCTTGTTTTGTTAGACCTCAGTTGTAATTGTATATTTTATGGCATCCTTAATATCACTTTTTAGCTATAACATTGCCAAATGCACTATTATATAGCATACCATTTTTTTCTTTATACAGTGCCTTGAAAAAGTATTCATACCCCTTGAGATTTTCCACATTTTGTCATGTTACAATCAAAAACATAAATGTATTTTATTGGAATTGTATGTGATAGACCAACACAAAGTGCCACATAATTGTGAAGTGGAAGGAAAATAAATGGTTTTCAAAATTTTTTTTACAAATAAATATCTGAAAAAGTGTGGCGTGCATTTGTATTCAGACCCCTTTACTCTGAAATCCCTAACAAAAATCTAGAGGAACCGATCGCCTTCAGAAGTCACCTAATTAGTAAATAGAGTCCACCTGTGTGTAATTTAATATCAGATTAAATACAGCTGTCCTGTGAAAGCCCTCAGAGGTTTGTTAGAGAACATTCGTGAACAAACAGCATCATGAAGGCCAAGGAATACACCAGACAGGTCAGGGATAAAGATGTGGAGAAGTCTAAAGCAGGGTTAGGTTATAAAAAAAATCCCAAGCTTTGATCATCTCACAGAGCACTGTGCAATCCATCATCTGAAAATGGAAATAGTATGGCACAACTGCCAGCCTAACAAGACACGGCCATCCACCTAAACTGACAGGCCAGTCAAGGAGAGCATTAATCAGAGAAGCAGCCAAGAGGCCCTTGGAGGAGCTGCAGAGATCCACAGCTCAGGCGAGAGAATTATTTCACAGGACGACTATTAGTTGTGCACTCTACAAATCTGGCCTTTATGGAAGAGTGGCAAGAAGAAAGTCATTGTTGAAAGAAAGCCATAAGAATTCCCGTTTGCAGTTTGAGAGAAGCCATGTGGAGACACAGCAAACATGTGGAAGAAGGTGCTCTGGTCAGATGAGACCAAAATTTAATTTTTTGGCCTAAAAGCAAAACGCTATGTGTGGCCGAAAACTAACACTGCACATCACCCTGAACACACCATCCTCAGCGTGAAACATGGTGGTGGCAGCATCATGTGGTGGGGATGCTTTTCTTCAGCAGGGACAGGGAAGCTGGTCAGAGTTGATGGGAAGATGGATGCAGCCAAATACAGGGCAATCTTAGAAGAAAACCTGTTAGAGTCTGCAAAAGACTTGAGACTGGGGCGGAGGTTCACCTTCGAGCAGGACAACGACCCTAACGATACAGCCAGAGCTACAATGGAAGGGTTTAGATCAAAGCATATTCATGTGTTAGAATGGTCCAGTCAAAATCCAGACCTAAATCCAATTGAGAGTCTGAGGCAAGACTTGAAACTTGCTGTTCAAAGATGCTCGCCATCCAATCTGACAGAGCTTGGTCTATTTTGCACACTAAAAATCAGCATAAATTTCACTCTCTAGATGTGCAAAGCTTGTATAGACATACCTAAAAAGACTTGCAGCTGTAATTGCAGTGAAAGGTGGTTCTACAAAGTGTTGACTCCGGGGGCTGAATACAAATGCACGCTTCACTTTTCAGATATTTATTTGTAAAAAATTTGGAAAACCATTTATCATTTTCCTTCCACTTCACAATTATGTGCCACTTAGTGTTGGTCTATCAAATAAAATCCCACTGAAATATAGTTACGTTTCTTGGTTGTAACATGACAAAATGTGGAAAATTTCAAGGGTATTAATACTTTTTCAAGGCACTGTAAAGACAATTTCTAGGACAATATACTGCATACATGATAAGCAGGACATCCAAAACCAATCTGCAATCGAACCACTTTATCAGCCCTGCTAGTCCAAAAGTAGATAGCGCCATACATACAAGGTAATATTTACTTATGGATCTTGGCAGACAACCATTTACAGTTAGGAAAATAATTATTTGATCCCCTGTACATTTTGTAAGTTTTCCCACTTACAAAGAAATGAAGGGCCTATAATATTTATCATAGGTGTATTTTAAATGATAGAGGCAGAATATCAACCAAAAATCCAGAAAAAACACATGCTACAAATATTATAAATTGAGTTGCAGTTTAGTGAGTAAAATACATATTTGATCCCCTACCAACAGACAATAATTCAGGCCCCACTGGCTACATGCTCATGTGGTACACAGATTAGTCCTGTCAATTTAAGAAGGTGCTCCTAATGACAACTCGTTATGTGTATAAAAGACACCTGTCCACAGAATCTTTTTCATCCATTCAAACCTCACCATCACCATGGGCAAGACCAGAGAGCTGTCAAGGGACGTCAGGGACACAATTGTACACCTGCAGAAGGCTGGAATGGGCTACAAGACCATTAGCAAGAAGCTTGGTGAGAAGAGAACAACTGTTGGAATGATTATTTGCAAATGGAAGACATACAAAATAACCATCAATCGCCCTCGATCTGGAGCTCCATGCAATGGAAAGGTTTAGAAGATTTAAATGTAAAAAAGGAAAGGTTCAATGTTTTAATAAACTGTAATATATCGCCTTCATTACAGTTTTATCAGAAACCAACTGTGTTGGCTTATGCCAGCTTTAGAGTGTATGTATATATAAATGTGAGAGGATTATCTGAACACACTTACAAAAACTGATGAGTCAGTTCAATCTTTTAAATTCCTGAAATGATTCACTCAATTCAGATGTCAGGCTAAAAAGCAGCTGGCAAAAGGCAAGGCTATTCAGCAATGTAAACCATGTTGCCGCTTTTAAGTGGATGTAGACTGAAATCTCCAGAAAAGTGGGGTGGCTAAAACGTTCACCTTTTCAAAGCTAATGATGTGCATATTGTAGTAGGATATTTGAATTAAACATATGCAATACAAAATTTCACCTACAGAGCAGCTGGAAGGGGACTTACAGCGGGGTCTCTGACAGAGGTTCACGACCTACAAAGGTCAAAAGTCCATATTATACAATTCTGGAGGAATTATATAACAGTTTGGGGGGTGAAAACAATCATAACATATCAAGCCTAGAATCTATTTTTGATTGAGCTGTGACATGCTTACGTGTGGCACAGACCAGACACACAATGCAAAAGGTTAAGTCTGAACGTTTCTCTCCTTTTTATTCTGTCTTTCCAAGTTGTGATTTCTATATTGATTGCCCACAAACTCGTCACTTTGCCCCCAGGTGCGAGCGTTTTTACTCTTGGTAACATTCTTTTTATGAGGGATCAAAAACCTTCATCTATGAGAACGTCCAAATTTTATTTTGGAACTCTGAATCAAAACCAGTTGGATGAAATAGTTAATGTAACTGTGTAAGCAAACAAACAAATTA